CAATTTGAACTGTATATTTTCAATATATTTATCATCTCCTGGTTTCAACTTTCACCTGTATTTGATGTAAAAATATTATATGTGCAGTTACTCTCTTAGAAGAGTCCTTCTCACAAAGATTTCTTTTTAAAAGAGAGAATGGCCTCAGCATATTATCCTACATATTAGTTGATTCTTCTTTAGTAAATGCTAACTTTTTCATTTGCCTTATCACAGCAGCTGCATTATAAGCTTGCTGAAAAATAAAATGAAATATATCAATATATTTCGGATAATTATCCTAGAACCAAAATTGTTCAATGGACCCTGTCTAGACCCTAGGCCTATAGAGTGTCTAATATTGTAAAAAATGTAAAAATGACCTTAAGGGTCTTCTAAAAGCAAAGCATCTTGTCAGAACATTAACTGTACAATGTTTGTCACATTAACATATTGTTATACTCACCCTCCATTTTGTTTTGGCAAAATTCTTCTTAAGCTGTGCACTAATGGAAGCATGGATATTTTTATCCAAAGCAGCATTGCCAGATATCCTACAATTAAGTAATGTTTTATTTAGAAGAATTATTTTCGGAAAGAAATGACTTCCTAAAAATACCCTTTCTTAGGTATGTGGCCCGACCAGTTGCATTCTGGTTGGAACTCTTCAGGGACAACGAGGCAAAAGTGAAAACTTCACCTCTACATATAGTTATAAATACGGAGGAGGATTGCCTATGCGGAGGCGATGTGGACTGATGCGGAGGCGTACCAAGTCAAATGCAGCTGCGACTTCGGTCAAGTGCAGAGGAGTCTGAGGTCAATCGCAGAGGTGGATTGATGATTGGGAGGCAAGTTGAGTCAAATGCGGATGCGTTCTGAGTCGACTTTTTAATCACTAACTGGAAGAATCTGCTATTGATGGGGTGCATGCAGGGTGGTTGATGGTCGAACTGGCTGGCATGTGATACTAGTAGTGTAGCTGATAGATATAGAGGACACAGATTGTGCTTTTAGATACTCACTGTGTAGACTTAAACAGCAATATTTTGGTGTACTTCGGGTTGCTAAAGACTACCAGTGAGCCCCTAAAAACACAATCTGTGTCCTCTATATCTATCAGCTACACTACTAGTATCACATGCCAACCAGTTCGACCATCAACCACCCTGCATGCACCCCATCAATAGCAGATTCTTCCAGTTAGTGATTAAAAAGTCGACTCAGAACGCATCCGCATTTGACTCAACTTGCCTCCCAATCATCAATCCACCTCTGCGATTGACCTCAGACGCCTCTGCACTTGACCGAAGTCGCATCCGCATTTGACTTGGTACGCCTCCGCATCAGTCCACATCGCCTCCGCATAGGCAATCCTCCTCCGTATTTATAACTATATGTAGAGGTGAAGTTTTCACTTTTGCCTCGTTGTCCCTGAAGAGTTCCAACCAGAATGCAACTGGTCGGGCCACATACCTAAGAAAGGGTATTTTTAGGAAGTCATTTCTTTCCGAAAATAATTCTTCTAAATAAAACATTACTTAATTGTAGGATATCTGGCAATGCTGCTTTGGATAAAAATATCCATGCTTCCATTAGTGCACAGCTTAAGAAGAATTTTGCCAAAACAAAATGGAGGGTGAGTATAACAATATGTTAATGTGACAAACATTGTACAGTTAATGTTCTGACAAGATGCTTTGCTTTTAGAAGACCCATAAGGTCATTTTTACATTTTTTACAATATTAGACACTCTATAGGCCTAATCATAATATTAAAGGTGCACTCAAATAAACAATGTTGTATATCTTTAAGGTCCATTATCGAGGTACAATTGAATGACCATTTCAAAATAATTTTCATAAAAAATATAAACAATTTTCAAGTCCCAGAAGTTGAAGAAGTCATGAATGTAAAATGTCATAGTTGTTCTAGTTTTGTCACAATCCAAGGCATACCTACTTTTGCAAACTATTAAATTTTTAACTTGCAATCCGCTTTTCCTGACAGATATCTATAATACAGGCACTTTTGCAACCATTTCAGACAGGGTCCATTGAACAATTTTGGTTCTAGGATAATTATCGGAAATGTATTGATATATTTCATTTTATTTTTCAGCAAGCTTATAATGCAGCTGCTGTGATAAGGCAAATGAAAAAGTTAGCATTTACTAAAGAAGAATCAACTAATATGTAGGATAATATGCTGAGGCCATTCTCTCTTTTAAAAAGAAATCTTTGTGAGAAGGACTCTTCTAAGAGAGTAACTGCACATATAATATTTTTACATCAAATACAGGTGAAAGTTGAAACCAGGAGATGATAAATATATTGAAAATATACAGTTCAAATTGTTAATGGAAGGAAAGATTTGTTTGTTTGTCAGAAAAAATACAGCAATTTATACTTTAAACATCTGATAATGGCAAAGTAAAGTAGATTTTTATGGACATTTGTCCATGTTTGATTTGAAACTTTATGAAAATTTATTTAGTTATTGTTATATTTTTTACTTTGAGCACCATGATGCATGACATATTTGTATATTGATATGTATACAAATTTCGGGATTATTTTTGCAATGTATATACACACTGTAGATATAATTGTAAACATGGTGTTCCACAATCTCAATGTGTTCTTTAATCAAAGTCAGTCTCAAATATTTGGATGTGAAGCATCTTTTGCTTTAATGAAAATGTCATCAAAATGTTCTGATGAATAAGTTCAATTGCTCCGTAATGATATTTTGATAAAAACAATGATATTGTAGCATTTGCACTGTACACTGTACTTAATTGTATTAAGAAACACAACAATAACATGGGTAAAGTCAAAGATATTATAGCAAGGCAATTTTTAACTTCAATCCATATCTTCAGGTATACGTTTATTAAAGCCATCTAATGGATTAGTCAAAATGGGTTGGTAAATCTTGTCCAAACAAGAATATTTCTACAATATTATTGACCAATAAATTGATGTTTAAAAGAAATGAAAGATAGATATTGAAATTTATTGAAATGTATATCATCTTTCTCAATGAGAATTTGTCACAATATCTGGATATTTGAGATCTGAACTTTTTTTTAAATTCAGACTGTGCATATTGTACTTTAAATGAATGTACATTTAACTAAGGTATATATATGTACTAATATTGTTGTATTTATAATTCTATGTTGTATTACACATATCAAAATTGAAAATGGTTCTATGGTTGCATATTTGTATTTTAAATTATTAACTGTATATTTTTCTGTATTTACAACCTTTTCTATAGGAATTGATCTTCTGTGTACAGATGATACTGAGTAATATCTTATTTAGGTAATTAAAGGTGGAATTTATTCTCTTTATTTACAGTTATATTTAATGAAATTAGTATAGATTTGTGAAGGGCATTAAGCACATGGCTCTTCCAAATAACAGTGGTTGCATAATTCTGATTTTACTCATGATACTGTTTTTGAAATACATATTTGAAAGCTTTTTTGAGATACGATATTTTGGTCTATATATTGGCTGATTTATAGCTTTTTGAAACTTTTTTCCTGATTATTAATTGAAATGTAAAAAGAACTATTGATTTCATATATTATTTTGTTTAAAAATGTAACTTTTATGTACTTGTCCTTACATAGATATTATAAGGTGGGCAAAACTTACATATATCTGCATGTGTTAAAATCAGTATTCAATAATTGCAAATGTAACATATGATATAGTGCAAAATTATTTTAAGTTTGCTAATGATACCCATGTACTTACAACTCCAATAAGGTCACTTACAAATTAGCTTATTAAATTTCTTTTGAATTTTTACTCCATATATTATTACTGATATTTAGAGTTGGAATGTTTATTGAAGTATTAAGAAATAATTCTCAGCTAGCCTATGATGTTTATTTTCTATAATAGTGTTAGCACAAGGAATAAACATAAGGTACTGATATCTAACGCAAATTTAACTACATATATGTAGTTTTATTATATTTTCCTATATTTATAAATATAATCTACTGCTCAATTCACTTTTTTTCAATATTTTAGAGGACCTTTACTTTATTTTATTTTTTTTTTATTGAACTTTCATCATACAGACATCATATGTAGAATCAAAAGTCACCTTTAAAGTAGCCAATAATATCAAACAAAAGAAACAATCAAGTCTAAAATCTTATATGAAGTACACATAGTTGTTGTTTTACGTAAATCATTTAAATGATACATAATATATGCTACAGAATAAAATTACAGTTGGTTTAAAAAAGAATCTGAAAATTTTGCTGAAAACCACATTTGTTTAAACATATTAATATTATTGTGATGCAATTTGTATTTATGGTTTGTGTATTAGTGTTCAATATTTTATCAATTCGGCACTCATAACTTACATGATAAATTGCATTAAAACTATGTCCAACATTTTTATCACATACCATGTCTAAGCCTAAAGATTATGATTTAATTTGTTATGATGAGAATTTCTTTCTTCTTTTGTTAAAACATAATTTACTCAAGGTAATATAAGAAGCTCTTTAGATTTTTTTGATTATTAGTAAATCATGTCAAAAAGTTCTAACACGGTTACTAATGAGGCAGGATATACTCATCTTTCAAATACAGCTGATCATTCAACTAGGGCATTTCTATGGATATTTATTATCTATCTCATACTTTATATACTCCCTATATAATAGCTCTTGATCTACAGTTATTGGTAAGAGTTTGTGGTATTATTTTGTTTAACATTAGTGTGAGTGTTGTAATAATCACAAATTGTGCTCTATGTGACCATTTCAATTTGTTCAAAGATCTGAAATGTTTTTATAAGTCTATCCTATTTTTTCAAACTATAACTTAAGTAAAAAAACAAATTCAATTTTTGTAAGCTGTATTCGAGACTGTGATCATATTAATCTTGATACTATATTTAATAGCTTACATTCCAAGTGGTTTATAATTAATTTTAAAACTGAAAAGAGAAAGAATGAAAATATTAAATAAAAATATAAAATTGTTAGTGTACTGAAGGGATTGTAAAGAGGTTTTCTGTATCGGGGACAATGATATCATCATCTGTTGGGACGTCTGTTGGGTCTGCATTAGGACTATAAAAAAGGCGTTTTATGACATCACTAATTGCGAAGTCCTTATGTGATAAAGCATAATTTTGGGATTAGGAACGTCATTAAACTGTTAGTTTTAGTGGAATTGCAGGAACCACAGATGTCTGGTTGAAATTTGGAATGGTGCTAATTGATGCTGTCAGTGTTTTTTAGAAACACCACTTTACAACCTCTTAAATGAGATACATCTAACTTAAGTATATATTGAGCATTATAAGAATTCGATTTATTTGAATTATTTAAAATAGTAGGAATGAATTAAGAAAATCAATTTAGTTTTAATTTTTAAGATGTTGGTCTCAGTTGTTGTTGATTGAACTCCCTTTTAATACTCATAAATAATTCTTTAAATAATAAAGTATAAATACATGAAACATACTGTTAAATCAGTTCTTATAGTTCAATCTTTGCTTTAATTACGTAATGAATTATCATTTATTTATTCATTAATAGGCAGAGATCATGCATTAAGAAATGATTAGCATGAATTGTAGACAATACGTCATATATCTGTAATGTCTATGTTATCTGTTGGCTCAATATTTAATGGGATTATATCTTGTATTATTTAACATTCCCTTAGATTCTATTATATACACAATTTGTACATATTTTTAACACTACCATATAGATAATTATATATATATATTGTTTATTGTTGAATGTTGGGACTTGTTAATGACCAGGGACATATAGTTCAGTTGCAAGTAATAATATTCTAATTTGGTATTGGGTAACATGTCCGCATTGGATAGAAAGTAGAAAAAAAAAAATGGAATTTGAAATCTGTTTAAAGTTTCTTGCAGGCTATGTAAATGTAAAAACAATGTTAACATTGATATAAGTGACTTTCATCACAACGTATACAAACATTTGACCAGTAACATTTGATAGCAGATTGGTGTTAAGTAAATCACTTACGGTGCTGTGGTTTATGCAATTTGAAAGAAGTGAGGCTAAACAATTGAAAGAGAAATACCAATTTTTACTGAAATTATTTTATGTTGTATTACAATTTTATTATGTATATGTACTATCAGTGTCATTGCACATCACATTTAAAGCATCCATTTTGAACATTTCAATAAGGTGATTTTTTTTCATGGTAATTATTTTCACTAATAAACTTGTCTAAACTGTTGATGTATATTTTGATTTTCATTCCCATTTGAAATTAATGGAATTGTTTTTAATACCCAGTAGCCCACGTAGTTTGGTTTATTAGTCTCTAACCCATAAACTCTGTCTTTATAACCTGAAACTTATATTCTGTCTTTATTTGCCCAGTATTCCAAATAATCTTTCTTTATCTGCCCAGTATTCCAAATAATCTTTCTTTATCTGCCCAGTATTCCATATACTCTACCTTTATTAGATTAGTATCACATATACTCTACCTTTATTGGCAGTACCTCGTAAACTCTGTCTTTCTTAGCTCCTTATCAATATACTCTGCCTGTATAAGCCCAGTATCCCATATACTCTACCTTTATAAGCTCAGTATCTCATATACTCTACCTTTATCAGCTCAGTATCCCATATACTCTACCTTTATCAGCTCAGTATCTCATATACTCTACCTTTATCAGCTCAGTATCCCATATACTCTACCTTTATCAGCTCAGTATCTCATATACTCTACCTTTATCAGCTCAGTATCTCCCTCATACTCTACCTTTATCAGCTTAGTAACACATATACTCTGCCTTTATCAGCTCAGTATCTCTACCTTTATCAGCTCAGTATCTCATATACTCTACCTTTATCAGCTTAGTATCACATATAATCTGTCTTTATCAGCTCAGTATCTCTACCTTTATCAGCTCAGTATCTCATATACTCTGCCTTTATGAGCTCAGTATCCGATATACTCTGCCTTTATGAGCTCAGTATCCGATATACTCTACCTTTATTAGCTCAGTATCACACATACTCTGCCTTTATCAGCTCAGTATCTCATAAACTCTGCCTTTATCAGCTCTGTATTCATTTACTTTGCCTTTATTGGCAGTACCTCGTAAACCCAGTATCCCATATACCCTTTCTTTATTTGCTATTATTCCATATAATCTCAAATATATTTGCCCCTTATCCATAACTCAGTATTTATTTGCATTGGATTCTTTATTGTATTAGCCCAGTTATCTCCCTTCAACTAAAAAATACGCAGTAAGTTTTCTTACAAATGCCCTGAACAGTTGTTAACCTCTTGGAATGAAATTTTATTTGAAGTTTATTGTTTTACCAATCTCATACCGAATATGGTGTAGCTGAACGTGGTCACTCTCTTCATGCCTTTGAATTGAAATACAGCTAACCAAAACAACGATCATTTTACATACCAAACTCCATTATGACTGGACTGCCATCGATACCGATTGATTGAGAGCTTTTTCATATCGTATTGGGTGTTATAGAAGATATCATGTAAAACTAAGTAACATATTTATAATATAATAAAATAGAAATTGATTGCCTTTGATGTTAAAATAATATAGAAATCTGTTGCCGCTACGGTGAATGAAGTGGACATAACACACACGTCATCAGTGCGCATACGGTAGCTGTATGTCAACAATTTTGTTGAATCATTTATGCAGTGCGAAGAGTAGAAGTGGATTCTAGGTCATAACTTGAAATCTGATACGAATTTTAGTCAAACTGGAAGCTTGCATGTATGTTATAGATATTGATTGCATGTGGTATAAACAAATAGGTAGTCTACGGTGCATAATAGATTATTGTAAATCTATTTCTAAGTCAGTATATATAGGTTAGTTAAACTAATAAATTGTTAAATTTTAATCCTATAACTTAGATCAATACATTTATATGTGTACGTGCATTTTGAAAATATATATATGGAATTAACTGTATCATAAGGACAGGTAGGTATTTCAAAAGTTGAACCAGGTTGTGTGTATGACAACCCACATACAGAAGTCCGGGGTTAACAAGCTGCATTTTATAACAAAATACCGAAACTTTATAATGAGCTAGCATTATACATATATTTTCATCCTGTCCGAATATATGGATTTTGATATAATTCAAGTAAAGAAAAGTGGGACGTGAGTTGGACACGATGATATATTTATTATGTACACGAGGTAAGCCGAGATATAAAGGCTACAACATTTTCATATCACATTGGGCTACCGTAAATAGTACTAAGTTGTTGTACTTTCAGAAAGATTTGTTATAGGACTAATTAAGATACAGGCTTTATGGAACTAGGTGTAAACACATCGCCCACGCGATGAAAATGGCTTTTCTTGGTGGATTATAAAAGAATGCAATTTTGTTTAGACCGAATATTTTGTCTCAAGTAACTGCCGAGTTATTGTTTCGATTTTTTTACTTCCAGAAGATCAAGATGTTCTCCGACTCTGTTGTACTCGTGACTGGAGCATCAGGTTTCATAGCCTCTCATATCGTCAAGCTTTTACAGGAAGAAGATTTTCGGGTCCGAGGTACTGTTCGAAGCTTAACGAATGAGGACAAGCTAAAACGACTGAATTCATTATGTCCTCATGCTAAACATAAATTAGAATTACTAGAAGCCGATTTACTTATGCCAAAAACCTGGGAGTCTGCAGTTAAAGATGTTGAATTTGTTATACACGTGGCCAGCCCTTCGCCTGATGATGATGGCGGTGACATAATCAAAGTTGCTGTTGATGGAACTATTAATGTATTGAAAGCATGTGCCAATGCTAATACGGTAAAGCGGATAGTTTTGACCAGCTCTTGTATGGCCGTATTCATGGTAAACCGACCTAGCGAGGTGATCAGAAAAGAAGACGATTGGAGTGACCCGTCTGAATTAGAGCCTTATTCAAGAAGTAAAACCTTAGCTGAAAAAGCAGCCTGGGATTTCGTCAAGGAACTTCCAGCTGATAAAAAGATAGAACTAGCTGTTATCAATCCTGCATTTGTCATTGGTCCAGTTCTTCATGGTTCGAATGGAACAAGTCAAGAGCTAATTAAACGTTTACTGGAAAGATCCATACCCGCCGTGCCTAATTGTAACATAACTATTGTGGACGTGCGGGATGTGGCATTAGCACACGTTAGAGCTATGAAGCTATCAGAAGCTGCTGGTATGCGCCATATTGTAGCCACTGCAAATGTATCTTTTCCAACAATAGCACAGATTCTAAAGAAGGAATTCCTACCTCAAGGTTATTACGTTCCAACAATGGTTGCTCCATATTTCATACTTTGGTTCGCTAGTTGGTTTGATAAAGTCATCAAATTGATATTACCACAAGTAGGTAGAGATTATCAGTTCGATGATACTCGTATGAAGAATGTCTTAGAAATTAGCCCACGAAGCATTTCAGAGTCAGTGATAGATATGGCCTACAGTATGATTGAATCGGGTTTGGTTTTTAAAAGCGACAAATATCATGGACCACCTCGGGCTGCAAAGTGATGTTGAATGATATATTCAAAATCAGTTACTTACAGTATTGGGGATCTGTCCAATACGTCTGCATAGACTGATTCGCCTGACGTATGTGTCCTCCCCTGATTTTGTGAAGTATGCGTATCTTGCTGTGAACAATTGGTGCAAAGTAATTAGTATTATATCCATAATAGTGTTCTTATTTATTTAATGTTTTATCTACTTGTAAATGTCATTTTTAGAGATTATAATCTCTGTATATAAATTTAGTTGCACCTCAGAAATATCCTAGATTAGTGAATGGCGATAATGCCAATGGTTCGAAATGAAATATCGTGAATGCAGTCTATTTCTCAAGTTCTATATGAGGTTTGCTCAAAAATTTAAAATGAGCGAAAATGGGTATAATAGATACACATTATGAAGCAAGTCTATCTAATGTCGATGTTAGCGCATGAGGATTGAGTTAGCTACGAAGAATTCTATCCCAACTGTGATTTTCAGTGTCAATTTAGAAATTTCAATTTAATGAAACTTTTGAAACTCAAAATATTTCATAAAAAAACATATCTAAGTTCTCAGCCTTAAACACTTGGTTAAATTTGATTTTTGTTATTTCTAGCAAAAGATCTATATTATGTACTTATCTATATCGATTTTAAGGTTAGGCCTACCTACTCGCGCGAATATGTACTTCTTTTGTTCATAATTTTTATTACATTCATGGGTTATTTGCATGGATACAGTTTCAACTTTGCTCGGTACAAACTGTTGTTAAGTATAGATAATGGTTTCAAACTAGGCCCATACAATACTTTTTGTCTTTACGAATTATTTCCCATTTCTGCACCAAATACATTACAAGCTCATGGTTATAAAGCTTTCCAAGCAAAGCTCAATAACTAAAGATATAAAAAAATATTTAGCAGTACAGTAACAATCACCAGTATGAAATATTCAACCTTCAGTCATACACTTCTTTTGAACTGTTTGGGGCGATACTGAATAATATTGAGTATGAGTTATTGCCCTTGTTCTTGCAAACGTGTTCAATCTTAGCTCGTGAAAACTCTAGAAGACAAATATTCAATCTTCAGCGATATTGAATAATAAAACCAAGTTTTGTCAAAATCCGGCAAGAATCATGCCTTCTAGAGTTTTTACGAGCTACAAATTGAACGAGAACAAGGGCAATAATTCAAAGTAAATATTTTTCTATTTTTCTGATTTTCAATACGTTTTATCCTTGGGTGATAACAAACACTCAAGCCAAGTTTCGTTAAAATCTGTCAAGAATTGTACCTTCTAGAGTGTTTACAAGCTAAAAATTGAACGCGTTTTCAAGAACAAGGGCATTAACTCATACTCAATATTTTTCTATTCTTCTGATTTTCAATAAAGTTCATCCTTGGGTGATTACGAACACTCACACCAAGTTTCGCCAAAGTCCGTCAAGAATTGTCCCTTCTGGAGTGTTTACAAGCTAAAATTTGAACCCGTTTTCAAGAACATGGGCAATAACTCATACTATATATTTTTCGATTTTTCTGATTTTCAATAGGAATTATCCATGGGTGATAACCAACACTCATGCCAAGTTTCGTCAATTATGGACGGACGCACGGACCGACGGTCAGTGCTATAACTTATACACTTTTAGAAATCAAAGTAAGTTAATCTTAAAGGCATACTGGTAAATACGAGAAAGACTATTACCAAATGCGATCAACTTGATGGTTACAGATTCCTTGGAACGACAAGATCCAGTTCTGCTAGAAACTGGAACATGAGCTGAAGGTGCTCCGGTCGGCTAAATCCAGCAAGAGACTACCAGATGCCGCCAGATATAATCCAGTTAATCAGGGATTCTGCAAGTCATAACTTAAACCTATAATCAATCCTCGAAACAAGGAACTGTAATGTACCACGAATGTGGGCTTGGATACAGCAACAACGGTAATAATGGGGACATGATTAAGAAAAGAAAATGCTTCGGAAACATGGGGATAGATCACATTATCTGCATGAAATGACAGAATTAGGTTTGTAATGTATGGTTTTATGAACACTGACGATATTTAATCCTAGAAATGAGATATTTGTCAATTCGAATATGGTTACTACATTAATATAAATCAAATTTGGGTTGAAAGTTCATCACAAAGCTACAAATGAATTTCATACATTTACACCGAATGATCACATACACAGTTTAAACAATATACAATTAGGATAAAAGTTCAGCTTCGAGTCTGAGTATATCAACATCATCCAAACAAACACCCAGGCTTTTAGCTTGTCGTGATGTGAGTTGTTTTGGATTAAAGCAGGAATACCCACGACAACATTCTTCATCTACCAAACATGGTTTATCATCACATTGCTGCCTACCAAATATCATATTATATGAACCACCCCAAATCTGTCGACGAATTCTACAATAGAAAAACATATTTCATTCAATTCGTATGGCAATAAAATTCCATACGAGCAAAACAATTCTGTTAACCAAAACATTTCGTCCAAAGCAGGACACGATCGGGAGCGATAAAAGAGAAGTACCCTGTTCACATCATGAGATACATATCAATTGTACATAGAAAACGAACATGCACGCTTCACGATTTCAGAGGCTTTTCTACATTCAATCTGCCTGATGCAACCCAGGAACCCAGTAGTCCACAACAGTTCCAGTATTAAATCAGAATTAAAAGGCATGCAGTATAATGACCCCGTACAGTAGGCCTACAGAAGATTCATATTAACGTACAGAAAGATGTACAGATTAAAATGATGGAGTATCCTACTATCCTACATCTAAGTAAGTCTTAGTGTACGTGTAAAAACCAATCAACTTGGTAAGGTTATCGAAATGACAAACTATAGGCCTACCTGCTTAATAATTTTGTATCTTTGCCTTCACCTGTAAAAATAAAATGTTTTATTATATTAGATTGAGTTTCTTATAACAATGTTTGCCAAAATTTGTCAAAATTTATTTTTTTTCCAATATGAATAGTTTGTATAATTTAGATGGGACAATAAACTTAGGCCCAGTATGAAACTATAAAACTAGTTCCGATTTTCCCAACAGGTCCAAATTATAAATAAAAAGAAAATCGATGAGGGACAATAGATTAAAATATTTCGTTTCATATGAAACAAATGGCCATTCCGGATTTTATCAGAAACCTTTAGTTTCGTTTTACAAGTCGTTTTTGTGCAGTTGGGCACGATGCGGCAAGTTCGGCAATGCGGCAAAACGAACCCACCGCATGTCGGCTACTATTTAGATGGAATCTTTGATCGTCTGTTGCTTGACTGGACGCACTTAGACTTTTAGGATAATCCGATCATGTTGCAGCGATTTGCAGTGGTAGACTTAAAGCATTTCCATTTGTATATGTTGTGCTGAAATTATGTATAAAGCTTTATAGCCATGAAATTTATGAAAAAAGTGTATCGTCTCTCACAGCGATGCTGTTTTTACTAGCCCATGTGTGTGGTTTAGACAATTGGCCTAACCTATATCGACCCAATTTCACAATAAACTTACTTTCAACTTAAACAAGATTAACACGGGTTAATTCCTTTGAAAATGACTGGTTCTTTTTAGAACGCTCGATTCTAATTCATGAAGGTTGTACTCAAAGCGTTTGCAACATTTATTTCTTATAATATAACAAGTATTGTGACCAGTTACCTCCATTGATTTGAATTAAATAAAATATATTTTCATCAGTTACGTCCCTTTCATAGTTCATAGTCATTATTTTTTTTGTTGGCACCATAGTACTGTATACTATCAGTATAGTATAGTATTGCATGCTCTTAATTGTAGTGTATGTTGAGCAGCTAGTATACTTTAGTATATGATGGACAAGAGTGACTGAAATTTACGACTGCCATTGCTTGTTGGCGTACACAAATGAAACCATCTTTCAATTAACTTAAATCTATTAGGCCAAGTACTTTAGTGTCTGACACTTAAACCATTATAATGCAAATTTTGAAGGACTATGCACAGTCCCTTGAAGTTCTGACAACATAAATAAAATGTGGGTAATGTGGAGAAAAAAGTGTCAACGTATTGAAAAGATAGCTTGCCAGGCAAGATAATATACGTCCACCGGCAGCTTTGATTTTACATAAAAATAACAATCACCAGTATGAAATATTCAACCTTCAGTCATACACTTTTTTTGAACTCTTTAAGGCGATACTGAATAATATTGAGTATGAGTTATTGCCCTAATTCTAGAAAATGTGTTCAATTTTTAACTCGTGAAAATCTTCAGCGCGGTAATGAATAATAAAACCAAGTTTTGTCAAAATTCGGCAAAAAACATGCCATCTAGAGTGTTTACAAGCTAAAATTTGAACGCGTTTTCAAGAACAAGGGCAATAACTCATACTAAATATTTTTCAATTTTTCTGTTTTTCAATACGGTTTATCTATGGGTGATAACCAACACTCATGCCAAGTTTCGTCAACATCCGTCAAGAATTGCACCTTCTAGAGTGTTTACGAGCGTTTCAAGAACAAGGGCAATAACTCGTGTTTTTGAACGAAGGATTGCTTTACTTTTTATTCGAAACCAATCAATAAGTACTCAACAAGCCACTTTTGTCTCCTTTTGGAAAATAGTTAACTTCCATGAGCAAAACGTCAATTACACTACAGTCCCGCACAAAATATTTGCATATTATGGAAAAATAAGATATTCAAAGAATTATGCTATAAGTATAAATGTGTTGCTTTTAATTAATTGAATGTGTGTGTATATTTAAAGTTACGAAAAATTATTTTCATTCAATTACTTAAAATGCTAAATTATTATATTGACCTTTGTAGAGGGCCAACCATTTGTTGTCTATAGTTTGTTTGCCTCCCTTTATTATGCAAATTGTTTATGCGGCACTGTAGTGTAATTATTTATGACAGAACTTCAAGGACTATGATGGTGACGAGAACCTACCTAGTATAATTGAGTAATAAATAGACTAGTAAAAGAGCCAACGGGGAGTGCATTAACACTCAAGATATTAGTCTATTTCATTATCACTTTGAATTGTTAGTAGGTAACCCCTACGTTGAAGGTTAAAGTATCGTTAATGAGAAAATGAAACTTGGTGTGATCAGATCTTGAAATTTACAATTTTTCGATTAACTGATTTTGAGTTATTGCCCTTGTGGGTACAATAGAAGCTACAGTCTTCAATGTATTTTTTTCATATAAAACTTGGTGTGAGCATTGGAATTGATAAGGTCTTGAATCAGAAGCTAAAATATTTTGAAATTTTAAGACTGAATTCGCGCGATTTGGTGAGTACTTTTTTGTAAATTACTTGTTATTTTCAATGAATATAGCTTTTGTATCACTTCATAGACTAAACGATGAAATTAGACTTAATACTATCAATATTGTATCCTTTCCTAAACATGAAATAGTAACTAACTTAAACAGTAACCTGTGATCTGCTTATTGCAGCAAAATGAAAAACACAGTATTAGTTTCAACCTCATATTTGTATTGTGGGTTAAAAGTCTCCCAAATCGATCTGTTGTATTCGTATTCAGATGTATTCGATGTATACCATTTTTTGGTTTTTTCTTTAGATCGATATCAATATGACCTTCATCCTGGATTACATTTAAGAAGATGATGATGTAGATCGCATGTGGCAAGGGTTCACAGGATCGTGTATGTTAAGGCACGTCAAGACATGGTAGAAGCAAGCATGTTGACTCGTATTGTAGGCTATCGTGCAACCCACCCCCTATCACTACACGACACTACTACAAACCAATTTGTGTCATCAACGTTGAAAAAACGGAGCCTTGACGCTTGCTTGCGGGGTTTTTGATGATCCGAGCACATAAGCCTAAGAAAAGACAAGCCAAGAAAGAAGACAGAAAGGTGGGGCCTTCGTTTAATGCAGGGGCTGGAGTATGAATACATCTCTGGGTATGTCTCATTCAAATGTCTGCATCTCGCTGTATTCCAGGAATTGGTTGACAAGGTTTTCCCATTTCTGCAGAAGCAGAATACCAACTTATCCTGTATCCATTTTTAGTAACTGAACCATGAAATATTCTTGAGTACATTGTAAAACATCGAGCTTTTAAGTACATAAAAAAAGTAAAAAGTAAAGTTCCAAACCTAATCGGACAACAATATGAATTCAGAGATGCAGACAATGGAATTGAACTAAGTCATCACAGCGCATGCGTGAAACTTACGATTGGCAACGATTCCGTTATATTTTATGCATGTTAAAAACCCTACGCTACGATCGCAAAGGTGTCGTAGCGTGAGTATCTTAGCGAAATCGAAATCCTGCATCAAAACATCATTAAAACAGATTTACACAAAAGTTTCATCCACATTTCATCACGCTTTGGGATAAAACATTAGCTTCTTTCACGCATCATCGAATCTAATTTCAATGAAACAATTGAATCCGTCCTTTGGTTCGAGATCTCATCCATTCACATTAAAATATATCGCATTTCATTTATAGAGAATTACTAATCATATAATTATTGCATACCACATACCAGTCTGATATCTTCACAATCCATAATATGCAGACTTTGTAGTTAAAAAGAAAGAGCGTAATCGCGTGTTACAAGAAATTATTGACAGGGGCGACACGTATATTCGTCAATATTGCTGGCGTATAACAAAAAGTCGTATTGCTAGGTAGACAAGCATTTTGTCCCATATTCCTGCCTACTCAGAAAGCAGAAAAAGACAATCGTGAAAGGAAACCAAATTAGATTAGTTGCGATTAGATGCTACATCCGGATCAGATTTTCTTGACTTATCTTGGAGAAAAAATATTATGTTGAAAGCAAGCTGTGTAGTTTTGAAATTATAACGTTATTAGCGTTTTAACCATCCTCTTGGACTGTCACTAAACCAAAATTAATAGCCTTAACAAATACTCTTTCCACACTAGTTAACTTAATCACAGGGTCCAGTGTATCTATAGAGCTACTCGTTTTCTGTGCTCAGATCATATCAAAAGATCAAGATTATACTATGTATGTTGCCTGGAGTGGAACACCGTTTTCTCCTGTACTGCAGAGGGTAATGGTGCGGTTATATTATAAATTGTTCACATTACTTTCATTTATCAAACACTTTCAATTTGAGTATTTACCTTTTTTCAAATTTTCAAATGTAAGGTACATCTTAAAAAGAAAATATGATCTTCTACTTATTAATTTATTACCAAGTGCATTGACCTTGCTTGTTTGTGAGTTGTCATAACTAACCATATTTTCTCCGTAACACCATAAAATGGCTTGACAATTCCAACAACTGACAATCTCCAAATTGTAGGCTTGGTAATTCGTTTACTTTTGGCATAGAGCGATGAGATTGTAATTTGAGTAAAATAACGGTAATTAGAATACTTACTTAAAACTGGGGATGAGGATGTAAGGTTCAAAAGAATAACAAACATCAAACATAATATGGTGATAGACACTGTTAATCTCATCATCTAAAAAACAACAATTAATCTTTATTAGCCTTTTACAACTGAATCAGCTTCGAGTCATAGTTTTCCACTATCTCAACTTGACTAGACTACGTGCCCGAACATTTCCATATAGAAACATTCAACCTGAATTTTAGTGATTCACTGATCACTGAAAAATTAGTTTTGGAAGATTAGCGCAAAAGGAAGCAGAACACTGTCCTTCTAAGGTAGGGTTACCCTAACCCTAGTCATTTCGAACTGGAAATTTGCTTTAAAACTAAAACTTATTTTTAGTTTTGCCACAAATACAGTCACGCGTAGACAGTTAGTAAAAGGAGCATATTGTCTCAAAATTAGAAACTAAAAGAGCGCTGATATTGTCGCAAGCAAAAGAAAAGCATTCGATTTTTTATAGAAACTTTATCAAATTATGATCAATTTGTTTGCGTCAAGTCAAATCTATTTCTAGGCCTTATGGAGAATTACCGACTGATACCACCCACGATACAACTGAATAAAAACATCCATTTCCTCCCAATAATTATTGTGATTTCATTGTTCATTGGAGTCGAGAAGATATACCTCGTTTTTCACTTAATTGGTATGTTACTTTTTTCTGTTCTTTTATGACCTGAAGGTAACTTATCCGTATAGGTCTCGTAACTAAGGAACTGGTTTCGCAATATTCGACAGCTAATACATTTGACTGAAGTCTGTTTCAATGTGTCCGAACTAATTAATTTTATCAATCATACAATCTGTTATACCTGATCTCATCATACAATCTGCTATACCTGATCTCATCATACAATCTGCTATACCTGATCTAATCATACAATCTGTTATACCTGATCTCATCATACAATCTGCTATACCCGATCTCATCATACAATCTGTTATACCTGATCTTATCATACAATCTGTTATACCTGATCTAATCATACAATCTGCTATACCTGATCTAATCATACAATCTGCTATAAATGATATCAATATACAATCTGCTATATCTGATCTAATTATACAGCGTTATACAGTCTGTGATACCCGATCTCATCATACAATCTGTTATACCTGATCTTATCATACGATCTGTTATACCTGATCTTATCATATGATCTGTTATGCCTGATCGCATCATACAATTTGTTATACCCGATCACATCATACAATCTGTTATACCCGATCACATCATACAATCTGCTATACCTAACCCATCATACAACATCATACCATCTGCTATACCTAACCTAACATACATCATCATACTATCTCTTATACCTGATCTCATCACACAATCTCCTTTACCAGCCGAAAAGGAATCCAGGTAAGGCAGTGGTAGAATCATCTTGGAATATTATGATGAGCTCGAAAAAATATTTAAAGGTTCGCCATCAACTGGTGAAATGCCTTTCGGAATTGATACTGATATTGCAATGGATAGATCTGATTCTTTCAGTGCGGATATTTTTGAAGTTGACAGTCTGCACAAGAAGTTCACAGTGATAACGATGAACCAGTGTTGAAAAAGAGAACTGAGAATTCAGTACCGAAGCTGATTGATGACAAATGTCGACATATGGAAAACGACTATCGGCTGCTTAATGTGACCAGTTATTACTACAAGAAAGTTAACAAGACACAGAGGACGAAGAGAAAGCTTGCCAATGTTATTAGAGAATCTTATATCTGCATCAGCGAAGTCAATTGGTAAATTTACTGAAGACTTTCTGAGTATTGGCCAAGGCTTGACACAAGCAATCGGTTTACTTGCTCAATCACTTGCAATCACTAATAACAAACCCATTTTGAACGCGAATCGTCAAATTATGTAACACCATGCCATAACCTATCCTATCCCGATAATTCTATTCCGAATCTGTTTGAAAGAGCTAGATATGTTCCTCGGCATAGATTCGAGTTCCAGGTTGATCGATTCGGTAAGAATTGACCAGCGAGTTTTCAGTCTGCCATAGGCGTAGTCTATTGGGTTTCTAGCAGATCGCAACATGTTGTTAAACACCACCTGTTCGTCGGATATACATGCTGTTATACCTGATCTAATCATACAATCTGCTATAAATGATATCAATATACAATCTGTTATACCTGATCTTATCATACAATCTGTTTTACCTAACTCAACATACATTATCATACTATCTGTTATACCTAATCTCATCATACATCTGTTATACCTGATCTTATCATACAATCTGTTATACCTGATCTTATCATACAATCTGTTATACCCGATCTCATCATACGATCTGTTATACCTGATCACATCATACTATCTGTTATACATAATCTCATCATACATCATCATACGATCTGTTATACCTGATCTTATCATACAATCTGCTATACCTAACCCAACATACATCATCATACTTTCTGTTATACCTGATCTCATCATACAATCTGTTATATCTGATCACATCATACTATCTGTTATACCTGATCTTATCATACAACATTATACGATCTGTTATACCTAATCTCATCATACAACATTATACGATCTGTTATACCTAATCTCATCATACATCATCATACAATCTGTTATACCTGATCTTATCATACGGTTAGTTATACCTGATGTCATTTAAGCTATGGTATTCAACCAATGAGATATTCAATAACATAGTTTAAGTGCTTTGTAGCATATTTATACATTTTGTAGCCCAATTCGCCATTCATATGGACAAATATTCCTATGCTGCTTTAAAGCAGTAAAAGAAAGCTTGCCTTATCGCAAAAATTCATTTTAAAAAGTACTTAAATTTATAATGAATAACTGAAAAAATAACTAGGTGAAAAATGGCTTCGAGATATTAATGTTAAAATAATCATAAAGATATGAGCGAAAATAATGCGCTAACAAATTAAAGCAGACACTTCTTGCAAAGTTTACCACCATTAGATGATCCCCCTTAGAAAAGCAATTATCATTTAGAAATTATCCATGGTATGACGATTTAAAGCGGAAATTGCAATTAATTACTGCCGGGAGAAAAGTTACGATTGATGGATGTTTAAATTAGACCAGATCGGAAATTTGATTTAAATGAGATTTATTGCGTTTTTACGAATTATAAAGCAATTGACCAATTCACTTCTTGATTGGTTTCAAGCAAAAACTAAACACTGACCTCATTAAATGGGGGGTGGGGGGCGGGGGGCGTATATTGCCGTCACCCATTTCCGTCCGTCCGTCAACAATTGCTCGTAAACACTCTATAAGGCACAATTATTGACAGATTTTGACGAAACTTGATATGATTTTTGTTATCATCCAAGGATGAACCCTATTGAAAATCCGAAAAATCGAAAAATATTTCGTACGAGTTATTGCCCTTGTTCTTGAAAACGCGTTCAATTTTTAGCCCGTAAACACTATAGAAGACACAATTCCTGGCGGATTTAGATGAAACTTTGAATGTGTGTTAGTTATCATCCAAGGATGAACCCTATTGAAAATCAGAAAAATGGAAAAATAATTAGTATGAGTTATTGGCCTTGTTCTTAAAACGTGTTCAAGTTTTAGCGTAAACACTCTAGAAGCCCAATTCTTGACAGAGTTTGATGAAACTCGTTTATTTTAATCAGTACCGCCTCAAAAAGTTCAAACGAAATGTATGACTGAAGGTTGAATATTTCATACTGGTAATTGTTACTGTACTTCCAAATATTTTTTATCTAAAGTCGAAGCTGTCAGTAGGTGTATATTACCTTGCCTGGCAACCAATCTTAATATAATTAAAACTGCAATAGTCTGCTTTTACATCAAAATAAAAACAATATAATCGTCTTTTTTTCAGAAGGCGTGGGATTAGAATTCTTGAAGATTTTTATTCTTAATTGACACTCGCTGTTTTTATTCTGTTTTACATTCCGGAATACTCTCGGCAAATTTATCAAAACTTGTTATTTAATGGAATCTTAGATCTTATTTGTCGAAGGAGAAACCATACATTTATAAACTGATGTACTTAATATTCTTAAGCCTATGGTCTTCAACTTTTAATACAAAAACTAAATAAGCATTGTTTTATCATGACTGAAAAGGGTTCGACTGCATGTAGATATGTAGATGTAGGCCTATTTGAAAGTGGACTTCATTATCTACGAAAACATAGATACATAGATATTATTTGACATGGTCAAGTCTATTTAGCCAGTGAATTCAATGACATCCAGACACCAGAAACCTTTCTGGAATATTTATTGTCATGCTATTTTATGAAGTAATACTATACCCATTTCAAGAAACTTACATTCTCATTATTAATTAAGGAATGACTTGAACATTTTTTCAGTTTATCGTTGTATAAACAGAAAAAAACCTGTGTACACTGTATAAATCCGCGTCTATAATTAAATCAATTCGAATACATGTTTAAATATTTATCTAAAATAGCAACAATTTAAGGCACTAAATTGGCGCCTAATATTATAACATTTTTCCTAGAGAACAGCCATTTTAGTAGGTCAACTATTTATAGTCTACTGCATGAAAGTTGGCGGAGCGGCCACGTTGAAAGTTCAATTATTGAAAGACCAAAATTCATGATATTGTTGAAATTTGGTGTGTGCACTTTCGAGGGAATTGGAAAATACCTTTATCATTCAGTGAGGTGTCGATTTCGGCTCTGTTGACGTCCGAAGCAACGACATCGACGCCGTATAGTGGCCACGTCAATCAATGATAAAAGTAGTCCGTTAAGGCGTGGAGCTTACGTTTACATTCCGTTTACATAGATATAAACCGAATTAACGTGACCACTGTTATCCAATCAAATTGCGTGATACCATATAAACGGAATCATGATTTAATTATTTTTGATTATTATCATCATATTCTGTCCATAATGATATTGGACATTAAGGGGTATATTCTAATAATTGTCTTTACCACCTGATAGAACTCGATCTGACTTCCCTTTCCTTGAAATCATTAAACGCACTTTGTAATTCTCATGGTAACGTATTATTGTCGGTTACATCTGCATGTGCGAACTTTAATAACCATCTTGAATTGACGAAGATACGTTGTTGTTGGAAATATAAGGGAACTGATCTTATATTTTTTAATTCTGAAAATTTATATGGATGGTTTAATCGAGTTCTATCAACTGGTAAAGCTTAGACGTACAGCATAATGTACTTTTTAAGTATTATTATTTGGCTACTTCTTAGAAGTTTGCATAATTCTGCATTTAACACTAAACTGCTACTATATCAAATGCCCACGTTGCGTGACGCGAAAAATGGAATTAGTGACGAAATTACCCAAAAGACTATAAGCCTTAATATTGTACTTCTATTTTAGCAATAATTCCTAGTTTCAGAATAATCCCAGGGGCGGCATTACTTTGAATATTTAGATTGTTGTCAACTAAAACTGACATGTTTACTGGCAACCAACAATAAGTAACAGTAACACCTTAGAACCACTAATGGTAATGGGGGCAGTATCGTACTATCATATATGTCAACTCCATGTCCGTAGAATATTGGAATGAAATGAAAATTTAATGAATCCAGTGCAATGTTGTGACTGAAAAGAATGTGTTGAATCAGATTTATTGCTCAATAATTCAACCCTGCAGAAGTAACTTAGTGACGTATTTTATAGTAATTATATGACAAACAGATAGAAATGTCGAATACAATTCTGTAGAAATAAATGTTATAATGGTAAAGGGTAAATTTCTCCAATATCTAGACATTTTTATTAACATAACTACTGTAGACTTTAACATGATTGAAATTTTCACACACGTTATTTCTGTTGACATGTGAAATTCGATCCGAAGTTTCACCCGAATGACTACTACATAATGGAATTGAAGGCATTGTGTTCAAGGGTTCCCCATGAACATTACCAAACGTTAAAATCCACTACCTGCTCTGCACTGTTATGAATGGCAGCCATTATCTTCCGGATTATGTCCAGATTGTCACATGATCACATAATATACTGTATTGCATAAGAAATGTCAGAATCATCCTCAAAAGGGTCTAAGCCTATAAACTATCTTCAGTTCCCAATCACTTGACAAACAAACAAGA